TCGACAATGTCGAAGATTTGAAGTGCAAAATTCAGTTTGAGTGGAACCGCATCACTCTCGCGTATTGCAGGACCCTCGTGGACAGCATGCCAACTCGCATGGCTCAAGTCATCTTGAAAAGGGGTGCCACAATCGACTATTAGTGCACATATTGTAAGTGCGGCTATAGTTTTGCACCAACTAAAATACACGTTTTATCATTTTTTGTAAATACCATTGATCGTCCATAGTAATGCTAAGTGTAGATTGTAATCATTTTTTAATATGCGTCGAATGGTACTAGCGGCTTCTGTAATGGACAAAAACAAAAATGTCAACTTGAAAATTTTGGGGTGCGGCTATAGTTTTGTTCCAGACTGTAGTACTAGTACTTCACTATTATTAATATTAATAGTAATATCAGTACCAGTATTTGAAGCGAGCGTAATAAATGATGCAATATCTATAATCTTGTTGGCGAAGTCCTTGGAAGTCGGTTCCACAAATCATGCCACGGCATCCTCATTAACCTTCGATCACTCGCCTCCACACATGCCCGTCTCGATCTCCGACGTCCGCATCGCTACGCTGTGCACATTGGCGTTGTACGTCAAGTATATCGTGACACTTACGATCCAAGGTGGCTCCAAGTTTAAGACAGCCACACGTCCACCTGAAGACATGGCGTTTGCGGCTACGACGGCCCCACAGCAACGAGCGTTCATTCCTGAAACGTCCGACGAGAAAGTCGAAGCAGCCAAGGCCAAAGAAGCGCGATGGGGTCGCATCGTTGGCAACGATCTGGAAAACTTGCCGTTTGGTATCATCATGGCGTGGGTGTCGATTGTGGCGGGAGGCAACGGCACCGCCACCAGCGTCCTGTTTGTTGTCTTCACTGTGAGCCGCATTGTTCACTCGATTGCATTTGCGAACGCTGTATTCCTTCCCCGAACCATTGCCTTCCAAGTCGGCATGCTATCAACCGTCGCCCTCGCAGTGAACGCGGTCATTGGCTCGTTCGCCTAGATTATAGTCATGAAGTATGAACCACTGTTTTAACTGCACATCGTTGTTGGTCACAACGCAGTGGTGCCACGCAGTACAGTGGTGCCACGCAGTACACAGCTATCCAACCCACTGAATGTGATCATGCTCTCTTCACGCAGTGTCCTTGTTGACGTTGGTATTTCATTGATCGTTTTTATTGGTTAAAATACAGCCAAGTCGGCGTTTGATTGGCTATCTCCCTCGACATCATAAATTATAGAACAAGCCAGCCAATACCGAACTTCAGTTCATAAAATTCCACCGTCTGTGTGGTAAATTTGAATTTTCAAACGTTGACTGCACGAAATATTTTAATTCTTCACAGGTTTGAATACTCACTTCAAGTATACATTTTCATCTTGTATATAAAATACATTGCCGTGGTTATTAAATTACACGCTTAGTACTACCTGGCGTCCCATTCTCACCTTTACCAACCAAGGAAGCACCATCATGAGCAGCAAGGACGACCTGAACGACGATGAGATCCGTGAACAAGATCGGTTCCTTCCTACGGCCAACATCTCCCGCATCATGAAGGTATCCCTTCCCAACACGGCCAAGATCGCCAAGGACGGCAAGGAAACCGTGCAGGAGTGCGTGTCCGAGTTCATTTCGTTCATCACGTCCGAGGCCAGTGACAAGTGTCAGCAAGAGAAGCGGAAGACTATCAACGGCGACGACATCATCTGGGCCATGAGCACATTGGGCTTCGATTCGTACGTGGAGCCCCTCAAGTTATACCTCCAAAAGTACCGGGAAAGTGTGAAGGTGGAGAAATCCGACAAGAAGGACAACGTGGGATCGTTTGGCGCGTCGAGTTAGGTGCTTCCTGCTACGTCGTCCTCGTTGAAGACGATCTCCCTTGTAGATAGACCTCGTTCCTTCCTCTTTTAATCCTTATGTATCTCTTTCCCCTCACACGATTCATCATCTTTCGAGCAGTGCCAGCATCTGTGTGCGTAAGCGACCAGTGAGGTTCACGGCGCAATCTATCGGTCGATCTCCGTACACGTCCTTCTGTGTCACAGACACCGCCGCGCCGCCGTGGTCTAAGAGCAGCTTCACGCATGGTACATGTGCCCGGATAACCGCAACATGCAGCGGGGACCACAAGTTGACTGGCTCGGCGGCATGCGCGACCGCTCCGATCTGCAGCAAGAACTTGAGGACGTCTCCATGTCCTTGGGACGCAGCCCAATGCAGTCCGTTCCATCCGTGTTGGTCGGTCGCATGCACAAGGTCCCCGTCCGACTCTATCATCGCTCGAAGTTTCTGCATGTTTCCTCGAAACACAGCGACAAGGAACTCGCGGTGGCCTTTGTCTGAGGATGTGGCCGTGCGTTCGACCTCCGCAGGCCCTTCAACGTCGCGCTGGTTGTCATTCCGACCACCTTGCTTCGTAGCCTTGACCGCCTCGACCACCTCGTCTTCATAATCCTACCAAGCTCTTCCATGATGAACGTGCTGAAAGAGTCACCTTACTTGGCTGTAGGTGGGGGATGGGCTCGACAGGACGGCAGGAACCTCCTTCTTGACTTCCACAGCACAAGCTTGAAGCACTGCCTTGGCCCTGGCTTGGTCGCGTTGTACTTCGGCGGCAGTTTCAATCAACACTGCCTTAGCTATTTTGGTTTCGACTTGTTGCTTGACATCTTTGACCAGTTGCGGAAGAACTTGCTTGGCCACTTGGTCGTTTTCAGCCCTAACAGCCACGGACGACGCGTGGAGTGCCGCCGTGATCTCCACATCACGCTCCTTGTCCATCTTCGCGGCCACATCCGTCACCTTGACGGACTTGCCAAATGTGGACGTCGGGTCTTGTCGTAAGTTGTGGGCCACCGCCACTAGGGCCGATGGATCGCTCGAAGTGGAAGCGACGGACGCGACGAGGGATTTGCGAGGAGCAGCCACATCCACGGTACTGAGCAACGTTTTTGGCGGCGCTGCAGCTACACTCATGAGCGATGGCGCGGTGGTTGATGTGGTCGTTGAAGGAGTGGAAGCGGCTACTTGCATCAACGACGACGATGCTGGCATGGTGTTGTCTTTGGCCACATCCATGAGCGTCGGCCTCTTGTTGACTGCATTTCCCACTGGCGGTGCAGCCGCGACGGACTCGACCGCCTCGACGCCACTCCTCTCCTGGGTAGCTTTCCGTGGTACGTCCTGGCGACTGTCATTGGCCACATCCACGAGAGAGATGGGGGTCGTCGACATAATGCTCTGCCCGACCGACCGATCGATCAACCGTCTTGGGAGGCGTGAAACTCCATCCAGTTACATGTCGTTTCACCACTGACGCTCGACGACATCTTCGCCCTAACACATCACATGTGGGTATGCCGTCGCATCGTTACCGTATCCATACATACACCTCGCTTCCATCGCGTTCCTCCGTGTTCGGTATCCACACCCGACGTGCGGCGGCCATGTCGCAGTGTTGCCGGCGGCGGCAACATATCCGTCCCCATCAACCAGTCCAGCGTCAAAAATCTTTCCATTGGTCCATGGGTACTACTAATATAACCATATGGTTCATTGTGACTTGGTGTTTGTATACCACGGCAAAAAAATTCGTCGCCGGCCAATCAAATCGTCACCTAACCGCAGCCACCAATACGATGCAGAGGCGAACCTTCCGCCACCTCAGCCGCCTCGAGTTGAAGTGGTCCAGGGCCTTCCATTTTCCAAAACCCCTCGGGCTGCGCAAGAACATGACCACCAACGCCAAGCAAACGACCTGGTTCAGCGAGACCGAAGCCATGTGGCCGGGCCAAAAGTTCTGCCTCGCGCAGGAAGAAGTGCTCTTTCACGGCAAGTCGGACTTCCAAGACGTGCTCGTGTTCAAGTCCGAAACGTACGGCAACGTGCTCGTGTTGGACGGTGTGATCCAGGCCACGGAACGCGACGAGTTTGCGTACCAAGAAATGATCACGCACTTGCCCTTGTACTCGCACGCGAACCCCAAGTCGGTGCTCATCGTCGGCGGTGGTGACGGAGGTGTCGCGCGCGAAGTCGCCAAGCACACCGGCGTGGAGAAGATCGTCATGTGCGAGATCGACCCCAAGGTCACGGAAGTGTCCCGCAAGTATCTCCCCAAGATGTCTGCCTCGTTGGAAGACCCTCGCTTGACGTTGTTGTTCCAAGACGCCGCCGAGTACTTGCGCTCGGGCGAATGCGGCAAGTTCGACGTGATCATCGTCGACTCGTCGGATCCGGTGGGCCCCGCCGAAGTGTTGTTCCGCTCGGAATTCTACGAAAACCTCAAGAACGCGCTCAACCCGAACGGCATCGTGTCCACCCAAGGCGAGTGCTTGTGGCTGCACTTGGACTTGATCGCGGACGTGCTCGGCCGCGTGGGCCAGTTCTTCCCCACCGTCCAGTACGCGTACACGACGATCCCGACCTACCCGTCAGGCCAAATCGGGTTTGTCCTGTGCTCGCTGGACGACTCGGTGGACGCGTTGAACAAGCCCAAGCGCATCGTCGACGCCAAGACCGCGGAAACCCTCGAATACTACACGTCCAAGGTGCACGAAGCCGCGTTCGTCTTGCCCGCGTTTGCCGAGAAGAAGATCAGCCCCGTCCGCAAATCCCACCGCTCCAACCCTTAATCGACCAATAACGAGATTGATTATTGTTGCAGTTCCATGGATGTACAGTAGAGCAGCATACTAGTACTACCTACTAGTAGTACTACTACATAACCTCCACTTTCTACGGCATATCCTCAAACTTACTGTATGTCTAACATTCATCATAATGACATATTCATGCTCACGTCATTGCAAAGATCGCATGTGACACTGTGACTGACATTTAACACTACTAGTAGTACTACTACTACTTGATTTCGCAAGTTACCCAAATCAACAATGCAATATGCTGCTAACGCAGAGGCGAGGTCTTTGGTTCCAAGTAGTTGGAGCTAATGTACGTCGATCGCTCTTGAATGCCCGCCAGCACTCCACCATTGTTGGCAGTCGCGGAAGACTGGAACTGCTTCATGGACTGCCACAACGCGTACGCGGTCACGGTCACCACGACGAACCCGAGCATGTACTTGCCCACAAACGCTACCGAATATGTTCCGATCATGTTACTGTATGAACTACAGACTGTCACACCTGTGAGCAAGAGGCCCTGGGACGCGGCGATCAGACAGATGAAGTTGTCCTTGACGCGAGGTGGGGGCTGGATGCAGAGCGGGCTGGTGGGCTTGGCGGTTTGGTCAGGTTCGATCATCAAGTCAAACTCGGGGTGGCTCAGTAAAGCATAGCTTGGTGCGTCCACAAGTATGGACTCGACGCTGTTCTCAGTCAGGTCCCTAGGGTACATAACCACATGTGAATAGAGTTGTCGAGGAGGTTCACACTAATTACAGGTGCTGTAACGAGGTCGGCAGATGTCTGCCGTCGATGCTCGTTAGGCCATTGCCCTTGAGTGACCTGCACATACACGTACATACGCTATCACATTGTTTGGACTTGAGGTAATAGCACGTACAGAGTCTTGAGCTGTCGCGGCAGTCTCTCGGCGTAATCACTGGACACTGTGACGATGTGGTTGTAGCTCAAGTCCCTAGCCACAAGGAGGATCACTGTAAGTGGGTGGATGAGCTAGACTTGCTTACAGTGTTTGGACGGTGGACGCCAAGAGCAACGAGATTGACGACGAGAGTGCGTTGTGACTGAGGTTTCTACATGATAAGAATGAGTAGAACTTGGTGTTCTACGAGGTCAATATGGTTACAGTGAAAGAAGAGCGACGTCGGCTGCTTCACTTGTGGCGGATGGAATGCTTTGAATGAAGTTGTAAGACAAGTCTCTACATATCGACATGTCAACCCCCGTAGCCCCCAACGATGATCACTGTGGCTACGTACATGCTGGCTACAAACGGGGGCAGCCTGGTGATGACAGAGATGTTTCGACGCGACAGGTTGATCGCCTTGTCGATCACCTTGACACTCGTAATGGCACTTCCGTTCGACAGACACACTGATATCGGGCGTCCGACGGTCCTTTGGATGGTACTACTGTTTGTTCTGTTGGGGCACGACACGAGCAAGGACACGGTAGTGCTGCTTCTGCTGCTGTTGGTGGTGGTGGTGACGCCAAGGACTGCATTGGCCCCAAGAAGCATCGCGCATGTCAGAGCAACGGATGCTACCATGGCCGCTAGATTCAAAATGGTCCATTCTTCTTGGTGGTTGTTCTCGAGAAAAATTCTGCATTTTGAAGATCATTATCAACACATGTGGTGTCGCAAACATGGCCGGCCGTTTCACAATTAATATTTCTTCATGGATTTATGTATTCACACGGATTGACTTGGTTTCAGTATCCCACGATGATACTATTTTTCGATTGCATTTGGCCGGTCAACGTCAATAATAATAGTAGAGATCTTACGCGGCCACGCCATTCTCATAAGTTACACTATACCTTGGTTATTAGCGCCGTCGACAGCAAGCCAAGGCGTAGCATGTATTTGGTTTGTACAAGCGTTATTCGAGTGATTATGAGAATTTCGAGAAATATATTTCTTCGTCTAGGAAATGCTATGTCTGGGGTGTCCCATTGGCAGACTTTTCAAATGCACTCGCCACGTCAGGCCAGCTGGCCATGGCATTGAGCACTGCTGTTCTTTCAGTATCTTGGATTGGTCGAGTCTCGACAAGGTGCCAGCTACTACTATTAATAGTACACCAGTACAACAGTACTGTAGTACAGTACTACGTAGTACTGTCACTAACCTCCGATATATTTCACCGAATCGCCAATATAATTCACCCAACCTCCATTATATTTCACGCCGAATTGAAATTTGGCCATTATATTTCACCCAACCTCGGATATAATTCACCCAACCAACACTTAATTTCACCTTTCGAAAATATATTTCACCTGACCACCGGTATATTTCATGGAAAGTAAATTAAAACCAACCCACACAACATCTCTACGACATCTACGGCTCAAGCACCAACGTCCATGTCTTCCATGTTCTCTGCACGGACATAGAACAGTTCAAGGCGGGCCGTGGACACATGCAAACGATTCGGCTCAATTCCTAATTCATTGTTGAGTTACATCTTTTAAGTCTGTCCGTCTGGCGGTGGCCCCATAAAGGCCGCGACTCGTTCGCGCAAAGATGTCTTAATGCGGCTCTTCAACGCCGGCCACATATTCTCGATCGGGTTCAACATCGGGGAGTACGGCCCTAGTTTTAAGAACAAAGCGTCTTGACACGTCATGTTAGCGGTCAACAGAGAGATGTACCGGAGTTTGTGGTACAGGGATGGCCTCTTCCATCGAGCTCAGATTCAAAAGTGGTGAAAGCGCGCGAAACTCTTCGCGCGCTTCGATCTTTCTAGATTACCAGCTCGAATTATAATGATTGTTAGGTGAATTATATTTTCGAAGGTTGGAATTAACCGTAGGTTGGGTGAAATATAACGGCGATATTTTACGTCGGCGTGAAATATAATGGAGGTTGGGTGAATTATATTGGCGATTCGGTGAAATATATCGGAGGTTGGTGGAAATATATCGAAAATACGCTGGAATTAAACGCAAAATGGTGTAGTAGACCTCTTGACCAATTACCACGTCACAAACTAATTGCAAAATCTTTTAGCAATTTATTGGGTGTTATTGGAAAATGTGATGGTTTCGACCAATGCCTGGACCTATTTTGGAAATGACTGAGTGATTAACAGAATATAACCAATGTTATGAGTAAATTTCTTTGTGCTTTCGAGTGAAATTTCGTGTTGTGGCGTGGTTTCTCGTTGGAATTTAAATCGATTTGATTGGCTACTTCAGACGAGCTCAAAATTAATAACCAATCAAAACCGTCTCAATGAAATTCAACCAATCAGATCGATTGTGTATCGGTTTCCCTCCCCAAATTTGTATCAAATCGACAATATTAACAAACAATCTATTATATTTGACACGTGCATACATACTGTAGTATATATTCGTGGAACCATACTATTCAACAGACAAGGCATCTATCTATCTCTACCAGTAGCCAGCAGCAACTACTGACGAGGCAGCTGGACCGTTTGCCGGTATTGAATGGGCTCGTTGTCGAGAAAGTTGCAGTTGGAGCTCAAGTACGTGTCTCGAGGCATGAGTTGCATCCTTCGGTCCAACCGGCGTCGGAAGTACCTTCTCACCACCATGAGCACCACAAACAGTGCCACCAACACGATCGTGTACTTGGCCAAAAACGCTACAAAATGATATATGATATATATATAACATCAACCTGTGATGACATACCAAATGCCATGGACGAAACATCCTCGTGACTGCCGTTGTACACACACAAGTACGTGTTGGGGTGATTGGGCAGCAGCATCGGAGCGCCGACGCACGTCGCGACCACGTCCGCCGCCAGCGGCCGGTCCAGCTTGAGCACAAAGTTGGGTTTCGTGAGCAGGGCAAACGTAGCTGGCGACACGTCGAACGACCGCAGGGGGTTGCCTGTCAAGTCCCTGCCCCCGATGAAAGCAACCATTAGAGTCAGCCAAAACTCCATAGATAGCACGCACAGGTGCATCAACGTGGAAGGGAACACAGTTTCCCGGATCATGCTCAGGCGGTTGTTCTTGAGAATGCTGAGCATCATGCAGCCAGACACTCGTGAGCGGACACAATGATACCCCAGGACACGTACAGTGTGGTCACAAACGAGTTGTCTAATGCTGTCCATCGGAAAAGCCGCGTGATAAAGTTGTGGCTGAGGTCCCTAGTATCATGATTGATGTGACCAAGGTTGGTCAACATGGGAAGCGACGAATGTACAAGGTCGTGATGGATGGCGGAAGCGCCAGTGCGCTGGCCTGCGTGAATGCATTGAACGTGAGGTTTCTAAGCGCAAAGCATACGATGAGCGTCAAGTGCGATGGACGAGGCGTACAAGGCCGTCAGTTGGCTGTTTGGCACATAGGCGGGAATGTCACGGATCGAGTTGTTGGACAAGTTGCTAGCGGTTCAAAATCAGCATGCTTGTACATAGAGAGAGAGATACAAACTGCATGCGTACAGGGATGCGGCTTCACTGGGAAGGCTTCCGACCACTTGAATGCCGCGCGCAGTCAAGTCGACGTCGCGAGCAGACTTGGGACTTGGGACGATCGCGCCACTGGCTTCCTGCAGGCACATCGCCATGTCGGTGGGGGCGATAATGGTCTCCGGGCACACGCCCCATAGTGTCGTGGCGTTCTGCGCACGTACTACATGTCCCGCCGCAAGCAGCAGAATCATGAACTGACGAGGGACCTGCATGGTCGATCTCTGTGTTTTGCAAATGTGTGAGTCGGTGAGCTTTTCAAGGACCAATCACAGTGTGGTGAGAACATTTGGCTCCGGATGCATGGGTGCCATACATTTTCCAAGTCAAATATTTCCAGAGGCTTTACGAACCGCGCAACATGCGGCGCACCAGCAGGTCCGTCCGCAAGAGCCATTTCAGTCAACAGGACTGTCGCTATCCGCACACTGCGTGGGTTCGCGTGAGATGGAGATTGCTAGAGAGAGTTCTGGACTGGGCTGGTACTATACGTATACTTTGTCGCCCGAAGCACTCTTACAGTGTATCGTCGCACCAAGTGATTTCTGCATTTGATCGACTGATCAGTGTTACTCTATTTCGATGACTTTGAAACAGTGGCCTTGCCCTTGTTCTTCTTCGCCTTCTTCTTCGCCGAGGGAGACAGCGGCGTCGCTACCTCGTGTGACAACGGTCCCAGGACTTCGACCATGCTCAGCTTGAGCAGCTTGGCCACCCGCCCGACGTGAGTCTGTTCGTTCGATTTACACTGTAGCACAATTGGCCGCGAGTCGCCCTCGTTCACAGCCCGCACCACGAGACTCGTCTTTGGCTTGAACTTGAACGACAGCTTCAGCTGATGCGGCGATTTGTCACTCAGGACGCGCACCTTGGCTTCAAAGTCATCCCAGTGGGCTCCGTCCGTCTGTAACACCACCATCGCCGCCCCGTACAATTGAAGAAAGGGGTACTGGTAATAAGTAGCAAGTCCAGTATCCGGATAAGTATTTATATCGTGTGTTTTTATTACGGCACGTTTGATTTCCTTTTAGTATCCAAACGACGAAACTCCGTATATATTATCAAAAAATACATTTCGACAAATCAATCACCCAATTCATCAAACTATATTATTTAACTGTACCGTACACTTAACTTGCTACTGTACTACTACTCGATTGTCATCCGTAGCCGCTTTGGACTTGACTGTGTCGTCGTCGTGTGGTCGTCCGTGGTGATCTGTAATGCGTTCACTCGAATCCCCTTGGGGTTCACGGCTCGGTTGATCAAGGCTAGGTCCTACACCATGGAAGCATTCCATCATCTTATGCCAAGAACAACAGAGGCGGCAACTCACGTACCCTGGCAGGACTTTCGCCAAACGCGTACAGGGCATGGGTGCGCGGCGTGAGGGCGGCGCGCTGGTGGCGGGGCTGCCGAAGCGGGGAAATGTACAAGTTGGAGCTGAGGACTCGCTTGGGCGACGCGCGCTGGGAAGGTCTCGGGAGGGGTTGGATGTCCGTGAGCAACTCGGACGTCGTTGCTGTGGTGGTAGTCTGCCGCAGCCGTTCGACCGCGAGGGTCGCGGCGTCCGCGATCACTTCGTTGTCCGAGATGACCATGGCCTTGTTACCGTCGTTGCTAAGAAACGGGGTCACGGCCACGTCCGCGGCGGTCGCCTGTTGGTCGTGGAGCTGGAACTGCAGCAAGAACGCCTTCAACGTCGGGATGAAGCACCGGTTGTAAAACTTAATCACGTCACCCTTGGCAGTGGGGGTATCTAACGGAATCTCTCGCACGATGCTGGCCTTGCTCACGGTCGGGTACACGCGCTTGTACCCGTCGAGCACTCGCTTGAATGTGACTTCAGGCACGACGTGGTTGACTTTGCACACGCCGTAAAGTGCACACAGGATCATGTGGTCCAAATGCCGATTACGGAGCAGACTCGAGTGATGGACCGAGATGCACTCCTTCACGGTAGTCCACACCTGGTTCAGCAAGGGCGCGTCCAGCTGCAGATGCTGGCCGAGGGCCAAGATGCGATTCGCGGCGAGGGCTAACACCTTGCGAAAGAACAGTTGTAGAATCGCGGCCGACTTGAGCTGCGGGTTGCTCAGCAACGGATGCAGCCCCGACGACGACGCCCACACGAGCGAGTCCAGTACCGTCTGCTCCAGGTCTCGCATGTGCCGCTTGAGTTCCGACGGCAACTGCGGCGCGCGCTTGACAAAGCTCTCGATGATCTTGCCAAAGTCAAATGCATCCACATCACATGTCGTGAGCAACTGCGGAAATGCGAGCGACACCAAGCTGTGCGCCTTGAGCACCACCTCCATGCTGCATGCAAACAGCGCGCGTGTAAAGCTCGAGTTGCTAAGCAACGCCGAAAAGTCCCCCGACTGGATCCGCACGGCTTCCGCGTCCAACAGCGCCTCCAGGACCTTGTAAAACAACCCAAGCCCCATCGCTTTGGTCTTGGTCAAACTGCCTTCCACGTGGCTACTACTGCTAGTACTACTACTAGTACTACCGACATGCAGCAACCGTTGCTGGTGCGACGTCGGCAACGACAACTTGTTCATGAGCTCGTCCGTCCACTGCGAAATGTTGGCCGCCGCCTCGGGCATCGACGCGCACTGGTCGAAGTGCCGCCGGAGAGTGTCCGACGGATGCGGCGGCAGCGGCATCAGAACCGACCGGATCCAGCTGTTGGTTTCCACGGCGGCGGTCACGGGGGTCTGCGCTATGGCGGGGCGGGGGCTGGCTACGCGGGAAGGGGTCACGGGGCGCTGCGTGGGCTTGTACTGGCCCTGCCACTGCCACGCCTGGTCGATCGAGGTACTTCCCACCACTGGCGCGTAAAACGCTGGCGTGGTCGGCGGCGGGGCCTCGTCGCGCGGCGGACCGAGCAGCGTCAGCTTGAGCGCGGGCGTGAGGAAGTGCGACTCGTCCAGGTCGTACAGATGCACCATGTACGTTTCCCGGTAATGCGTGGCCAAGTTGTGCACGTTGTCTGGAAGCACAGTCGGGTCAAAGTAGTTGGCATTCTTCACGGTGGCGTTGGATGTGAGCACCGCCTCGTCGTCTAGCGCGTGGAGCTCGACGGACAGCGCAGCGATGGCGCGCTCGACGTCGGCTCGATGGACGGCTGGCTTGGCGCACAGTTGTTCCAAGAGTTGCGACGGCGATGGAGTGGCGGTGCTACTGAGGGAGCTCAAGGCGGCGGCGACCTCGGCTTCGACGGACTTTGGATTGGGAAGGTGTGACAGCACGAGGTTCAGCACGGCGAGGAGGAGGTAGTACAGCTCTTCGAGGCCGGCATGTTGCATCTGCAGACGAGAGCGCACGATCACAAACACGAGCCACCCCGCTTCGTAGAGGTGTTGCCGACGGCCGTCCGTCGCGGGCTTGGTATTCACGTCCGCGTATCGATGCCACAGTTGGTCGTACTTGGAATGGAGAATCGCAGCCACGGTGAGACGTTCCTTGAGAACGTTGGCGCGGTGGAGCAGGTCGGGGCTCAAGTCCAAGATGAGCATATTGAACAGACCTGTAAAGCTCGACAGAAACGGACTCAAATGCACTTGGCAGCCTTCCATGAGTTCCTGGAGGGTGACTGGTGTTGGGGTCTGAACGTCGCTTGATGGATCCCGTTCCTTCTCCAACTCATTGGAGCATAAGATGGCAAATAACGCCGACATGATCCACACGTTGTCTTGGTTTGATGAGTTGACCCCACCGATGGGTGTTGTAGGTGTGGTGGTCGCCACAGAATGCAGATGCTCATGATTCACCAACGAACTCTTGATCATGTCTAGCAGCTTCTGCGTGCGGGACACATTCCTCGCGTCCAGCCGTGTCAAGATCGATGCGATCCCAGGAAAGTCTGCCAGGCGCATCTTGCTGGTTCTTCTCCGACAACGAGAATGGAGGGAAAATGCTTTCCTGCCCGCTGATTGGGTGCCCATCGCTTTCAACCCTCCGGATATGCCGGATATATCAATTCACATTCCGGTTGTGATTCCATCAATCACGCAACATGATTTGTCAAATCATGAAAATTCAATGCAAATCCAGCCAATCACAAGGCGTTCTTGATTTTCCATTTTGACGTTGCTAACCAATTGCTTGGATTCATTACTCCGGAGTATTACGAGTACTAGTAGTAATACTACCAGTACTACTAGTACTCGTAGTAATACTACTATTAATAGTACGATTTGTCATGGATCCGGACAAAGTACCATATTATCCGTATGAACGCGGTAAACGCTCTCATTTCCCAATTTCGAGAAATTGTGGAGCACGAGGTGGCGGCGCGATGATGTCGGACTTCGAGTACCTGCAGCAACGCCTTCGGCTGCATGTGGATCTCATGGGTCGACGCCTGGAAGGTGTGTCAGAACTCATCCTGGCTCCCAAAATTGATAGCATCAAGCGGATCCGGGTGCATTGTCGGCAATGCGTGGTGTCCAAGGTGACTGTGAACGGCGTCGAAGCACGATTTGAGCACCATGATTTCCTCAGTGAGGTCGTCCAAGAGAGCTACCGAGACTGGAACTCGTTCGACTTGTTCTACCGCGGGGCGATTGTTGCGTCGAAGGAAGGGACCTTGGTGATTGAAATGCCGCCTACAGTTCGTATCGTGGACCAAAACGACAGCACCGTCGACGACGAGAAAAAATCGGACATCGAAACCGCAACCGACGACGAGCGCGATGCCACTGCGGTGTGGGACTCGTCCAACCACCTCCCACCCAGTTCCACGGCCTTTGCGCCGGTCGTCGTCCGCATCGAGTACACAGTGTCGAATCCTCGCGGCGGCGTTCGCTTCATGTTGCCAGACGCCTTGCATCCCGAACGCGTGCCGCACATGTACACGTATTGCGGTCCCTTTGGCGGTCTCTGCGATGGCGCGCGCACGTGGATGCCGTGCCGCGATTTGCTCAGTGACAAGTGTACTTTCCGTCTGGAATTGATCGTGCCGGCGTCTTGCGTGGCCGTGTGCAGCGGTCGTCTGGTGGGCCAAAGCTTGGACGCGCACAAACTCCACCGCTCGTTCCGGTTCGTGATCAACACCAAGACCAGCTGCAGCCTCGTTGGATTTGCCGTACATCCTCCTCCTCCTGTCCCGTTCTCACCCATGCTACTGGTGTAGGTCGGGCCATTTCGCATGCACATCGCCGAACACATGCCGCGCGTCGCGCACTTTTGCCTCCCGGACCGTGTCGCAGACCTCACCACGTCCACCCAGTTTCGAGACCCCCATTTCGTCACGTTCTTTGAAACGTACCTCAATGCGCGGTACCCGTTCGCCACGTACTCGCAGATCTTTGTGGAAGACCCGCCCGTGGACTGCCAGTACTTTGCGGGGCTGTCTGTGCTCAACCAAGACATTCTGTACGGCCCCACGATCATCGACCGGGCGCCAGTGTCCCAAGCGATTCAGATCAAGGGCTTCATCGGGAGCTGGATTGGAGGTATGCATGTAGTATACTACCTTCTTGAGCGCTTGCCACGATATATATATATATATATATATATATATATATATTGGGCATGTCATTCCAAATCTTTTTTTTTTCATTCTATTGTGGATGATTCGGTATATATATAAGTATATATATTGGGCATGTCATTCCAAATATTATTTTTTTCATTCTATTGTGGATGATTCGGTATATATATATATATATATATATATATATATTGGTCATGTCATTCC